CGGGGGAGGAGAAGCAGGGGCGAACGGAGGGGGGGAAAACGGGGAAGTTCAAGTATGTGTACATGGACGGGGAAGAGGCCTTGCCGCGGCGCATGGGGGTCGACATCGACCTTGGAAACGGGGTTGGCGTGCCGGCGTTGGCGATCATCGACGCCGATAATGGGGCCTTTTACTTCTACCCCCCAGAGCGGCCCCTCAGCCAGGGGGCCATTGAGGAGTTTCTGCTCTCGTCTCGGGGGGGTACGCTGCAGCCCAATCTGAGGTCTGAGCGGGCCCCCTGGCTGCCCCCCCGGTTGCGCAAGGGCGCGAGGGCGGCGTTTCCTCTCCCCCCCGTTTCGGCGGCGGACTTCTCAGCGCGTGTGTTTGGGCAGCCTGCAAAACGGACAGCAAGTGCAGAAAGCGTTGAAAGTCGCGGGGAGGGGGATCTGGAAGGGGCGTCCGAGAGCGAGTCTAATCGTGACCAAGGGAGGGGGAGGAGGCCGGATAGAGGTGCCGTAAAACCTTGGAGCCTTTTCACCCTTTTTGCCCGAAGACAAGATTCTGCCGGCAGTGCGCCGGTGACCAGCCCCCCCGGAATTAAGACCAGGAGCGCGGGGCCTACCGGGGGGGGCTTTTTGCACTCGGATGCTCTCCCCGGACCGAGCAGCCTGGTTCTTTTTACAACGAACTGGTGCGGCTTCTGTCAGCGTGCTGAGGTGGTCCTCCAAGAAGTCGCCCTTTTGGTTGAGTCGGGGCAAAAACTCGGTGTGAGTGGAACGGCAGGGAGCGCAGGGGCTGGGGTTTTGACACCAAAGCGAAGTGGGGCGTCGGAAGCAGGAGTGCTTGGGGAAGAGGGAAGGGCGAAGGAGTCGATGCGGCTACGGGTGTTTCGGATGGACTGCGACGAGAACGATTGTGCGACTGTGACTGGGCTTCAGGTACGGCTTATGTTTACCTTTGACGAACTTTTGGTCCGAACGTTTTGCGGCGAGTCCAATTCACTGGCATTCGGCAGGCGCTCCGCTTCTCAACTTAAGAGTTTGGTAGTGGTGGGGTTCCATGGCGGACAGCAAGTTTACAGCAAGATGCAATGCAGCTTTACTTCCTTGCGATTCCGAAATTGTCAGATATTGATGTAGAACCTAAGCGTATTCAGGCTCTACGCGTCCATAGTACGCACCGTGCTCAGTGACGAATGCGAAGTTGATCAAGCGAGCTCCAACCAAGGGTTTGCAAGCGTGAAACTCGTTGTGCTCTTTGCTGTCGCCCCTTTGTCCTCGATTCGGCCGTTGTTTTGTAAACGCAAGTGCAGCTTTCGATTGGAAATGTCGCTTGGTTTTTTTCTTGCTCGGACCACAAGATGGATTATGTGACTGATCGTGCTTCGCAAACATGCGCATGCTTTCAATTGCAGATTCTCGAGTACCCATCGCTGGTGCTCTTCGCAGCTGGCAACGAAACTGCACCGGCGATCTATAGGGGCTCCTTCGTCGTCCAGGACATTCTTACATTCTTGAGTCGAAACAAAACCCCTATCGGAAAGCAGAAGTTGAGACGATAATGAGAATCTTCAACCATCATATAATATGGTCCGTTTGAAAACTCTGAGCCTGCCATGCAGCATGCTCAATCATGCCTCCTGGGTATGTGATCTTCGTGCAGAGTTATTGGGCACGCACTGTGTTCACCTTTCAATTATGTATGCGCGTCACATCGACTTCCATGATGAGACCGCTGCACTCCCGTACCAGCAGTTGCCGCATGAGTACGTGCTGGCCACATCGCCGTCGGGCATGCACATCAGGCACGCAGGCATGCATGCATCTGATTAATGCCGGGCAAGACGGCGTCTTTCAGTTTGCTTAATTCAACCATTAGGGATTCCCCAAGCAAAAAGTCAGCGATGCAATCTCCACACTTGCAGGGCGCCGCAATCGGTCGGACCGCTCATGCCATTCGTCCCTATGCCGATCCATGTAAAAGTTTGTTGTATGCCGGATCATGTATCTTTGTCAAGTGACATGGCAGTCATACGCATGCAACACCTGGGCGACTACCATGTGCCAGCTTCCATGTCCGCAGGAACATCCGCAATCCTTTGAGCTTATACACTGGTGCAACGTACGTACCTTTGCAATCTTGATTGTGCATCAGTGAGCACACGCTGCGTGCAGACAGCCTGAACGCAGCTCGAGCTACGCTCGACCAGTGCACTGCATGATGGTACCCAACTTGAAGCTCGCATGACAGCTCGAAGGCAGCATCGCAGGAGCGGGTCAGATCGACGAGAAGAAGCTAATGAAGTATCAATCGTCTATAATAAGCTTCCGTCTCAGAACGTCTCCTTCATACCTTGTTAATCTTTCGGTTCGAGGCCGCAGAACACGTTCGATTCTTTCCGCATCTTCCTGTTCAATTTGAATGGAGCAATCTGAGAAGATAATAACAGATGATAACTTTATAGAATAGCTGTTGACTCCAAGTAGACCAAACTCAACCAACAATTTACTACAAGAACCAGAGGAATCAAATCTAAACACTGTCTGCGCTCGAGATGAGTGACAAAGAAACTCTCAAATACCGTCTTCCTCACCACGAAGCAAAGGCGTGCACTTCTGAAAAGCTTCTCATCCTCTAAGAGCTTACCTTCGAGTTGGCCTCAAGCTTGTGATCAATGGCCGGAAGGCGACCCTGTGCTGCCATGCATGCTTCGCCCCACGGTTTGTACAGAAGGTCGGGATTAAGCGCATACCACTGCGCAGAAGCAACCACAATGAGCATTCAGCCAGAAAAGCAAGATGCAGCTGAGCGGGTAGGAGGAGCAACTTGTCAAACTCTTGCAAGAAAGCTTACTTTGATAATTTTCGCCATCAAGGAGAAAGCTTGAAGATACGGTAGTGTTTCTGCCTCCAAGAGATGAGTGTGACATCGCTTGGCTCTCGCCTTCGATCAAAGCAGAGAGCCATCGAATCACACTGAGAGACACGTATTTCTCTTTCACAACAGTCTCACATGGTAAACATCTGGACGAACCAGCACGCCTCGAAATGTTTCGCCTTCAAGACCCGGGAGCCCCTGTAGATTGTCTGCAAACTGCAACAGCCACTCCAATGACACTTCCGGCGCGAGCTTGAACGAGATAACCACCGCCCCTTCTGGCACCTCATGCGGCAGCTGCGGAGAATATAGTCCACGTGAGAAGACCATAGCATCAGTGCCAAAATTGTAGGCCTTGCTGATCAAGAGATAAATACAGAAAGCTGACCTCTCTAAAGCATGTAGTCCCATCTTCATGTCCTTAGGAAGCTTTATGGTTGCCGCTATACTTCCAATCTTTTGAATATAGTTTGAATCAGGGATGCAACCAGACTCCTGGTACTATCCAGTCCCATGCGATTGTTCTAGGTTGCAGTAGCGGCAACCAAATGCTAGAGCTTTGATAAGGACTGACCTGATAAGTCATGCTGCCGTAGCCAGCAAAGCTGCCCTGCGGAACGAAGTCGTGGCCTCTTCCGTTCCCTGCCGGATTGGGAATGCTGCGGAATAAGAGCACCAACAATGAGGTTGCTGTGCCAAAATCGGTTCAGAAGAAGCACGAATGGGGCTGTTGAAGTAGAACGAAGCTGCAGCGAAGTTGACTATCACAACTACGATCAGCCAATTCATTCGAGAAACGTGCAGGTATTGAACGTGCAAGGAATGGCTAGTGATCTTGCCTTGTCCGCCTTATCCGCCTTAAAGAAACTGACAACACCTACTGACGATGTTTGATGCCGCCTTCGCCAATCCCGCGGGAATGGAAAGTAGAAGATCTGATGCTTGACAAATCTAGGGAGAAGGCTGCCACCAGGTTGGAATGCCAGCTCAGAGACGTTTTCGAAGTCGTACCTGCTGCTCTGCTGCTGCCGGGCAGTCTTCTTTGGGGCTGGCTTTTGGGGGTCCAAAGCCCTTACCAACGTCATTTGCCGCTGCTTGGTCTGATGAGGTGTGGTTGGAGTGTAGAGGCGGAGGGATCTAGCAAGTTGCGTGCAGCTGTGCTTTCCAAACCATCTTTCTCCTCCCAGACCAGGGCCAATCGCGCCATGCAAAAGCAGTGACCCCGGATGGGCAACTGAAGAAAGTACCACCATAATCGATTTGATAGGTCCTGCTTCTGGAATCTGCGCTTGGTGTCCAAGGAGGGGTTCACTCGACTCCCGGTGTCTCACTGTGTCGTTCTCCAAGTTCCAGAATTTGTACTTGAAGCCACCTTTGGCTAATCAAATGTTGTGAGGCATTGGACGCCCGCTGCTGACAGAATCAGGAAAGCCACCGGTGATGAGTCTTTTCGTGCCTCAGTCCCTCTCATAACTCCGCCTCTAATCAGCTTAGTCGAGTTCAAATGTTGTCAGTAGTCCTGTGGTTAATGAGGCGAATTTAACATTGAAGGCAGCTTGTCGTAACACAACACTGGTAGTCAAGCGACAGGGTGTGCGAGAGGCCTTTGCTTGATAGTACTAGTAGGCGGCCGGCCTGCTGTCTAGCCATGCGCCGCGGGCGAATTGGTACGCGACCCAACCGAAGCACGAGGTTTCCGAGAGGGTCAGGGCCTATACGCAGGGTTTACTTAATTGCGCCGACCGCGCGACCTCGGCCACGTACTTACTCTGGTAACTCCCATTTCACCTAAGAGCCATTTCACTTAGGATATAGACGCCCGGGAGACGGGTAGGGTTGGTTTGGTGGTTATAGGGTGGGTTTGGGTGCGGAGCGGGTGATTCTTTTGGTTTAACCTAATAGGGTTTTTGCCCGGCTAGCTCGGATCTTGAGTGAAATGGCGAGTTCTCAGCTATTAACGAGAACGATAATAGATGAGCGCAGTGCGAAGCACTGCGAATTGATGAAGTGAGAGGAGAAAGTGTAATAGGCAAAGTCGGCTCGTGCAGGCTCTCACAGAATATAGAGACAGCAAAGGTTTTTTGGCTCTGCTGAAATTGAGAGAGCGTACACGGGTTAAGAAAGTAGGTTAAGGTTAAGCCGACAGAAGCATACCTGATGGGGTTAGGAGAAGTTCAAAGCAAACACGCTTCGGCCTCGAATTCGTGAAGCTGGGCAAGGGGGATGTCTTCCTGGAGGCCCAAGTTGCGGGTGGTGGACAGCCGCGCCTGGAGCGTCTCCCGGACGTACAGGTCCTTTGCGCGGTCAGAACGCCAACGGCCATGGCGTTTGAACACGCGATCAGGAACCTCGCGCGCGGCCGCGCCGGTCGCGCCCCCGCGCCGGCCAGAGTGCGTCCCGTAAAACTCAGGGTTTAAGCCGAGCAAAGAAGCTGCCTCCTTGAACCAACTCAAGACGGTGCTATAGCAGGGCGCGTTTGATTTCAGGCGCTGGGTAGGTGGGCACACCAGGGAAGAACGGATGAGAGAACCGGGCCCGAAGAGACGGTACTGTCCGACTTGAAGAAGGCGCTCAATCAAACCGACCGGGCAAAACTGGCCACCCAAGCGCGCGATGAAAACAGAATCCCCTTGACGGTACTGATCAGTTTTACTCTCCGGGACAAAAAGCTCTGCGTGTGACGGGAGGAATTTGATGTCCTGCCAGCGGACGGCGACTAAGTCGTCGTATCGAAAGAAAGAGGTGTAGCACAAGACGATTGCGGTGAGTTTCATCAGGCTGTGCAGGGTTGCAGTGTCACCGGCCCAGATCGAAAACAACCGACGGATCTGGGATGCTAAGAACGGGCGCTTCTGGTTTTGACCGGCGATCTTAAGTCGGCGGGCAGCTTCTCTGGCCATGCGAACGATCGGGTGGTTGGTCGGAGAGGGTAAGCCAGCGAGGGTGTGATTGAAGTAGACGGCTCCCGAAAAAGTTTTGAGAGGTGAAGGCGTATTGGCGGTGCGCAGCAGGCGCATCATGTACAGGGCGACAGTAAGGGGCTTTGACGGAAGCGCAGAGACTCCTTTTTCGGCACACCAAGCTTTGTACTTGCGCCACGGGCCAGCGTACTGTTGAAAAGTACCGGGAGCGCGGCAGACGAGCGCAGCATCATGAAGGTCGATTGAAAGGTGAGCGAGTTCGGGATCAGACGTGGAAAGGCCGGCGGCAGGGAGGTCCCAGCTGTCGAAGGTGAACCAATCTGCGAAAAAGAAATGAAAGAAAGAAAGGTTAAAAACGGTGCGTAAGGAACTGACCTTAGGCGGAGAAGTCGCAGTCGAGAACGTACACGTCGGAGATCGGGACACCCGTACCGACGAACTGGTCACGAGAAGCGCGCCCGGGAACTAGAACGGAGCGACCCTTGGGAAAGTGCAGGTGCCGACGCACGAACGGGGCGAAGCCGCGGCCGGCCGCGACACTTCCGGAGAGCAGGGGCCACCACGGGGCAGAGCGCCACCCCAGAACGACCAGCGTCATGCGCGCGCGGCACGCGCGCGCGTGTCGAAGCGCGGGCGCGACTAAACCCGGAGGCGGGAAACAGTAGTTACGCTCAGGCGGCCCCCAGTCTTGCGTGAACGTATTCGCAGCCGCCGCACCAGGGCACCAGAAGAAAGCGTCGAAACGAGGGAGCTTAGCGTTATGCGTGCTAGCAAAACGGTCTACTGTGAACGGGCCAAACTGCTGGGAGACGAAGGCGAAGCTAGCAGAGGAAAGGCTAAAGTCGTCGACATCGCGCACTTTGCTAAGGTAGTCTGCGCGAACGTTCTCTTCGCGGGGAAGCCACTCGGGGCGCAACTCGATCCGGTTCTCCGCGCAGAAGGTAAAAAGCTGAAGGCAGACCGCTTGAAGATGCTCCTTGGCTGAGCCGCCCTTAGAGAGGATCGTAAACACGTTCAGAGCATCGCCACGCGCGAGAACTGAGCAGTCGGAGAGGAAAGGACGAAAGGCGCGAAGAAGGTGTAAGAGGCCTGTCAGCTCGCGCCACGTGGAAGACGTGACGCCATGAACTTCGTGCTCTGCCCAAGCTCCGTGCGCCTCATGGCGCTCACGACCGATCTCTAAGTGTCCACCCCAGCCCTGACCGCCCGCATCGTAATGAATAACGCGCAGAATGGAATGGCGACGCCAGATATCGCGACTCTGGTAAAGATGAAGGCGAGACTGCCAGAACCGAAGTTCTGCAAGCGCTGCAGAGTCTAGAGAAACCTTGCTGTACCAGGAAGAACGGGTTGCGAGAGAGCGATGGAGCGAGCGAGAGAAGAGGCCAGAGATAGGGCCTGTAACTAGAGAGAAAGAGTTGATAATGCCAGTTACGCGAGCGAGGAGCTTAGCGGGAACTGCAAGAGGCTGATTGAGGCAAGCTTGGATAGCTGATTGGAGCTTCTGTTTCTGGAGAGCGGTTAGACGGAACTGGCCAAACAGGGTGTCGACGACGAAACCTAGAAACTTGACGACATGGCTGCGGCTGAGCTGGCACTTTTCCAAAGACACGACTAACCCTGCAGCTGCTAAATCCGCTAAAACTGAGGCTTGCACCCTGGCGAACTCGGCTGCGTCGCGGCAGGTGAAAAAGAAGTCGTCGATGTAGTGCACAAGCTTGTAACCGCGTGCGCGCCAAGACTGAGTCAGCTGGCGCATAACTTTTGTGAAAACATAACAGGCTGGGGCTAAGCCGAACGGAAGTTGAGTAAAAACGTAGTACTGGCCCTGCCATTGGAAACCTAGGAACTTCCAATCAGGCTCAGAGATGTCGATATGGTGATAGCCGGCTTTCAGGTCTACGGTGAACAGAAAGTCGTGGGGAAGACAAAGCTCTGAAACGAGACGGAGAGACTCGTACTTGAACTTTGGTACTTGTAGGAAGGAATTCAGAAAACGCAGATCCAAAATGAGACGAAGCTTATCTTCGGCTTTTGGCACCACCCCCAGCGGGCTGACCACAAACGGAGGATGATCCACGGGCAGGATTGTCCCGGTAATTCGCAGCGTGTTGACTGCGTCGGAGACGAAGTCCGCGTGCTCGAAGGCGGAAGGATGGTTCCGCTGACGGTGTGGCTCAGAAGGAGGGGAGGAAAGCCAGGGGAGAGCGTACCCTGAGAGAATGATTCCAAGAACAAAGCTCGAAGTAACAAAGGATTGCCAAAACTGAGCGTGACGCCGAAGCCTGTGGCGCAGCCACGGTTCAGATTTGTTGGCAGCTGACTTGGAAGCAGTGTTCTTAGCAGGGTCCCTAAAGCCCTCAAACTCGGCAGCTTCCGTGAGATCAGCGAGCTTATGAAGGGATTCGTCGGAGGCTGCGAAACAAACGAACAGAAATGAGAAAATGAAAGGCCAAAAGGAGCGCGGAAAAGAGATAAGAAACAGGAGAAGGAATTAGAGAGTGGAGTGTTGCCCGAGCAAAATGAAGGAAAGGAAGAAAGAGAACGTTAACAATAACGTGAATCGTTAACGTGAACAGTAAAAAGAGAAAAGTGGAATAAAAGACGCCACCCCTGGCAGACTGCATCTGCTAAGCAAAGAGAGATGAATGAGAGAAAACGTGAACGTTAATCGTTAACAAACTCCTGAAAGGAAATTCACAAGAAGAGCTGGGAGAGGGAGAAACGAAAAGAACGAATAGGGAGATCAAAGAATCTGCAGCCCCGAAATAGCACGAAAGAAGAAACAAACTCTTGATCTGAAGAAGAGCAAATTGACTGCAAGGAAAGGACTGCTAGGTGCATAATATGAACAGAGCAGAAAGTTAGATGTGAAGGACATAATCATCAATCGAGAATGCATGCGCGAAGGATGCAACACAAGGGTTTATTGAAGAACAAGGACTTAAATTGCCGAATGAACTGAACATTGTTGAATCAATGAGTATCTGTTCTGCAAATTACTCTGAATGCTAATGTTCCGAAGCAAAGGTCCAAATGCTAACAGGAGCCTGATCAAGTCTTGAGGAACCGTTACCAACTACTGCAGAGTCCCAAGCTACCCAACTGCATGGCCTCTGGCTAACTCTGAGAGTACAATCCTCTATCACTGGCTAGCACCGAAAGCTCCGGACACTTAGTAGTACCGTTTCCCCGCGTTGGCTGCTATGCTGGCTGTGTTGGGGCAGTTGGGAGCGATGTGACCAAACTGGCCACAGGACCAGCACTGAGTATTCAAGCCGCGGCCACTGGTTTGCATGGAGGAGCTGGGAGGGCGAGGGGTCGGAGCGAGGACAGGAGGAGGCAAAGGCATGGGGGAAGGGGACCGGTTGGA